TGGGCATGCCTATTCCTGCCCTTATATATCAAGGGACAAATTTCTTTGGCAGAAGGGAGCTGAAGTAATGTCAGGGCTCCCCAGTGGTTCTCTTGATCTCATTTACTTATTTAGCATGACATGACATTAATTCTGTCATAAGAGGAGCTGTAGGTCCAGACTTGATGCTGTCTTTTAGTCTGAGAACAAATGTGTATTTAAGTCAGATTATGAGAACAACATGGGTTAGAATCTGCCTTTTGACTGCAACCTTTGTGGAGTTAAGCTTGAACTTTCCAGAGCAAAGATTATGCACTGGAAAAGGATAAAATGGTAAAGAAGAAATGTAAATTAAAAGAGACAGAGGGAGGATGAAACGAAGTGGGAAAGATAGCGATGTAGGTGGAATAGGCTAAGAATTTAAATGATGGGATATAGAGAGATAGAAGCAGGAAAGGTGAAAGTAGAGGGTAAAATGTACCAGAAGAAAACCCCAGATTGCAACCAGCATTTGAACAAAACAAAACAGATACCACTACCTTCAAGTAGGTTGCTTTTCTCAGCACTGTTTTCTCAAATGTTACTTCACTGATCACAGCCCCTTCTTTATCTTTTCTCATCGTGAAAAATCACCAACTACTCATACCTCCTTAAATATATTGGTTCAGGGGTCTTTTGTCAGGGGGCCACAGGCAAAAAATGAAAAATCTGCTACCAGTTGTGAGTAGAGCGTGTCTCTTCTTGAAGTATGGAAGCAAGCCAGGAACCGGATGGGCTCCTGCAGGAACCCAGCGCTATGTTGCCACGGCCTGAAGTTTCAGCGGGTTTGTCTTCTAGAACTCACTTAGATTGGGCTTTCCTGGTGGGCAAAAGCTCTCTGGGGCCCAAAGATCTGAGAAGCTCTGCTTGGTCCTCTCTGTGAGGTCCTCTAAACAAAGGACACTCAGTCTGCTACTCATTCTCCTTCAGCCTACATGCCCTCATTTTGCTGGTTTGTCCAAATAGTAACACACCTAAAGTCTCCTCTTATCTGCTGAGGAAAGGAAACCCGTGAGACCAAGGAAACCCCACTGAATGAATTCAGAAATAAAAGGTAAAAGCCCAAGGTAGATGTTTAAAACAGCTGGTAACCAAAGAAGTAGAAATAAAACAGCTAGAAGAGAACTTCAACAAACGTTCAGTTAATACTCCCAAAGACATCAACTCAGAGCAAGAAAATTCCCTGGAGCACAGCATGGAGCTTTACTAATTGGATATGATCATTGCCAATCTCATGCATTAAAATTGATGTCACTGACAAGCTATGGTGACTATGAAAAAGAATGAGGGTTACATTGGTTAAGATTGTATTTGGTATAAAATTATTACAATAGAAATTGCATATCATTATCCCAAGAAGAGACAGATTAATCAGACACAGAGGCCAGAAAAAAATCTGAGGATTTAGATAGTAGGATGTCACGTCCAGGGGAGTGTTCATTTAATTAACAGTGCTAGGATAAAAGAATAAAAGAAAAAAAGCAGAAAACACTCCACACCATATATAAAAAGAAACTTCTGGTGTCTTAAAATGCATTAAAATGTATGAAATATTAAAACAAAAAACATAAAAATGGCTTGTCTTTTGGAGAGAAGATGCCTCTTTCAAGGCAAAAAAAAAAAAAAAAGTATGTGATTTTAAGTGTTTAATGACAGAAGCCAACATAAACTCTAAAGAAAAATGCCAGACCGAAAAAAATATTATACCTACAGTAAAACAGAAAAGTTTAATTTCCCTAGTATGTATACAGAGAACTTATGTAAATTGATCTTTTAAAAAACAAAAGAAGTACTGGACCAACTGCTAATAAAAATAGTAAGTCCACACAGTAAATTGGGATGACTTTTTCCTGTGTTGACTTGGCATTGTACAGAAATGGACAACCATATTGGTCTAGAAATGTTAATTTATTTTTATTTTTATTTTTATTTTTTCCATGTGTACAGGGGTAACACATTGGACTAAACATGTAAGGTCATATCTATGTGGGTTTGATTACAGAAACTAATAAAGTATTCTCTAAATAATGAAAAAAGAATAAGATAAGACTATAAGAGCGAGAAGCAATTTAAATATGTTCAGGGACCATTTTCATCTCCAGAATTAAGGATTATTTTGATGTTACATCACTGCCTTTTCTCTTTTACTTTCCTTTTTAGTTTTATTTTAGGATTCCCTATTTTTAATGTTCATACAGAGATTTCTTTAACTGAAATACCGAATAGTTTCTTGGGTGTGAAAAACTATAATAGTACACAGTATCCTAATGAGACAATTAATAATGTGAAATAGGAAGTAAAGGGCTAAAGGTATAGGGAAAGTGGGAAGGGTGGGGGAAAGGTAATAAGGGAGAGGAAAAAAATATGAGAAACTGAAAAAATGGAAATAAAGTGTTTGTAAATGGGGAGGGGAGGAGGGGGTGAAGGGAGGGCAGGGACAAGGGGAAAAATGAGAATCAAGACCTATTATGTAAAGGTACAGAATCCCAATGATGAATGAAATTGTATTGTATACCTAGATTGTGCCAATAACCTCAATAAAAAGAAGAAAAATAGTAAGTCCCTAAACTAGAAATGTATATATATTTTTTTCCAGTAAATGTATAAAGATATACTCATCATCACTGTACTCAAAATAAAGTTACAGTACATTCAAAATAAACTTACAAAAACATAAAAGAAAGCCCCCCCACTGCAAAAACTGAAAAGATACATTTATCACAGGATGAGGGCAACTATACTATATTTTTTTTATAGAGAAACAGGAATTATAATTTTTCTTTTCAGAGAAATAAGTTTTCGATATCAGTTAAAATAAAAAGTGCATAAAGTTTGATCTGAAATATTTTGGGGGATCAAGCATGAAGGTTCATGCCTGTAATTCCAGAACTTGAGAGGCTAAGGCAGGAGAATCGCCACAACTTAGAGACCAGCTTAGGCAACATAGTGAGTTCAAGACCAGCCTGAACTACATAGTGAGACCTTGTATTAAAAAAATATTACTTTGGGGGAGCTATCTTATAAAAAACATTTACCAGGGTAGAATGATAGACAATACGTAGCTAGATAGGTGGATAGATGGATGGACAGATGGATAGTGTCACTTTGGGAGAGGAAGAAAACAACATACTGGTTGAATATCTCTTAAGGGGAAAATAGATGTCAGTTGTATGTATATACATATAAGTGTGTATGTGTGCATAAGTATGTTCACACATACACACTTACCTATGGAATACTATGACTTTATTAAAAGATTAAGATTCAGAGATGAAGATCATAGTGTTAATTTAGAAAACAAAGCAGTAGGTTAATATTATATAAGCTAAGCGTGACTGTTTTATTAAAACACACCAGTAATAATGGTAGATACGATGGAGAACTTGTATGAACATGAAGAAAGGTGTGAAGGGCTATGTGACAGGCTCTAACACTAGTTTCCTTACCTTAAGAAGTTTTGTGGATGCTTGGCACATAAAGTACTCTGTCACATAAAGCTTTAATAAATACCGGTGGGAGAGGTAATTAATCACCTAGTTTAGAAATGTGCTGCTGGGCAGGAAGGGAGACAATTCTTGGTGCTTTCATTTTTTCACTGGTTAAAATAAACACATAATACTTTTATAATCTGTAAAGAATATATTTTTGGCACAAGAGCTAATGTAAACATCTCAGAGAATCGTGTAAAGCTTTGGCACTTCTATCTTGATATGTTATTCATACTCAGCTTCCCCTCTTAACACCACCCTCTTCTATTGGAAAAGCTATTTTTTAAAAAGCATTCTTAACGGAAAAACACAGAGCCCTGGCAGACAGTTAGAGAAAACACACAGAGAGGAACAATGGGCAGGAGAAAAGAACTATACTTCAGTAGAGCACACAGCTTAATGTCTGCCATTTCTCCCAGAGTTCAAATAACAAATCTGCTTTGTTGACAATGAATGTTGGATCTGAGCTACTGGTCTCGCTTCATCTATTTCCACAGTGCTGCAAGCTAGGAGATAATAAATTCTTTTAAAAATCTTTTAATGTTTCTAATTTCAGAGAAAAATTCTGTTATTCCAAATGTCATCTGAATGAGAGGTCAAAGCCACGTGCACAGAGTGGCTGTAAAAAAAGCCCACAGACAAGCAAACAAGACTAGAGAAAGCCACAGAGAACAGAGCTGTCTGCATGGAAGGTGGTCATTTTCTCTCTAATTATATATGATTAAGAGAGCAGGAACCCAGAATAGGTGTAGAAATATAGTGATGTGTTCCTTGGATCTAAATATAGTTTCAGTTCCCTTAGAAATATAAACTGACACATTTGCATGTAACAGATGTAGATACACATAAGGGAAGTCGCGAATGGTGTACTGCTGATCAAGCCCCACCCAAGATGTGTAGGGAAAGTAGAAGAGAACTGTGAATGTGTACAATGCAGGACATCATTCCATGAGTCCAGAGTCACGATTTTTAGAATGATATATTTTCTTGAAAATGGGAAATATGTTTGTTTGTATTTATTTGTTTTCTGCAATTACCTCTACAGTGACCATTGCAGCTTCAGGGGGAAGCATCTTCCAGTAAGCATAGGACAGATAAAATGACTCAGGAAATATTAAAAGGCAAACAGGAAAAGAAACAATTTAAGTCAAGGTTTATGTAGGTCTAAATTTTCTATGTGACCTAGAATTTATTTTCTGGAACTCAGATGTCATACATAAGCTTCCCAGAGAAATACAGGTCATTTTCTCCTTGTGTACTACGCAGGATCACCAGTGATAATCCTAAACTGCTTCCCTGTCTAGGTTACCACGAAAACCCCAATTCCCTGGTTCATCTTGAACTCTTTGGAGATGTAAGCGGGCGACCTGGGCAACATCTAGTTCAACTAGAGGCTTCACTAACACAGTTTCAAGAGAACTTCAGTGAACAAAACAGGAAATCCCTGAGGGCTCCCCAGTCTGTCCCGGGAGAGAGGAGCAAAGAGGGAGGTACCCTGCAAATCTCCACTCTGTTGGCAGCCTCCTCCATCTCTTCCCTGAGGGCATCAGCTTTGGCACCCGCAGGCTGTAAGCTGCTGGACAGACCTGAAGACTTGGAAGTCTGCTGCCACCTGATGGAAAACAGGAGAAAAAGAGGAGAGAGGTGAGACAGGCAGAGCCCTGGGGAGATCCCCAGGCGCAGGGAAAACACGTGGCTACAAATATCACCTAGGGAACGAAAGGCCCGACTGAAGGAGAGGAGATGAAAAAATACCAAGTACTTCACCAGGAGAATGGGGCTCCCATTTCCACACTAGAACTGCCAAATGAAGCCGAGCCATCCACTGCCCCTCCACGGAAAACAAGCATTCCCAGGCCACCATCACTTCCCCTACTGGTATCCTGACGTTGAGGGCAGATCAGAGTCACTGAGTACTGCTGTCTTTTTTTTTGCTTTAGTTAATATTATTTTTCACTGACAAATCATGATGGCATGCATCTATTGGGCACAGGGTAATATGCTGACACAGGTACCCAGTGTGCGGTGATTAAATCCAGCAAGGAGCCCATCCATCACCTCACATTTTTTTGGTGCTGACGATCACATGCAGGGTCTGACGCATGCTCAGTGAGGGCTCCACCGCTAGGCCATACCTCCTAGTACCTCACTTATCTTTTGACATGAGACCTATGAAATTTAACCAGGCTGCTCATCATTCAAAATAAAATAAAATATATTTCAAAATAACAACCACGGTCTTTAAACACAGTGTCTGTCATTTATGTTCCCAGTGGGCACCAGAGTTTGGAAATTCATTGACTCGGCTGAAGCCAATAACGTACCTGATTGAGAACACCAATAAGACTAAAAACAAATCTGAAAGCTATCGATAAGCACAGAACAACTTTATATTAACATCTAGATACCTCATTTGTATTCCTTAAAATGTAACTTTGTAGAGAGCATCTTGGCTTCTGAAACAGCCACTCAGAAAATATTTAGGGGGCTGCACCAATACCTTTGGTTGCTGTATTACAATCAGGAATAACCAGAAGAAGCAAGACACGAAAGCGTCCAACAACAGTGGGAGTCAGCAGATAGGTTAGGGCTCAGCAGTGGGTCCCTCCCCTGGTGAGTATGTGAACTCCGTGGCACACAGGGGCCAGCAAGTAGAAAAAATTAGCCAAACAGGCCATCACCTTTAAAACTAGTCCACTAGGTCTTGTCTTTTCTACCTGTAGAAGAGATGTGCGACCCAGAGCTATCTCTACAGTGTGACAATAGCACCATCAGGGTGATAAATGGCGGCCAAGCCTGGCTTTAGTCTTGGGAAGTGTGGAGGGAGCAGGACTGAGGAAGGTGGGTGGGGGGAGCTGCCCAGGGAAAAATAGTTGATCCTCAGCCTAGGCAGAAGGGGCTCAGGTAGGAATGTGGGTTACAGGTTGCTACATGTTTTAACTGACAAGGGAATTTGGAAATTTCCACATGAACTCCCCTGACGAAATGTGACAGGAGACTAATTCCTCCTAAACATCATGTAGGTCCACGACGTTCAGACTAGACAGGGAAGCTCTGTGGGCTCTGGCTCGGGCCATCAGTATGGAAAGGGCAGAAAGTGGAAAGTCTCTTTCCTACGAGTCAAGAATGTAATCATGAGGGGTCTTCCCTACTCAATTTTCTCTTTGGTTATCTGCAGGAAAAACAGAACAATGTAAGGCTGTATGACACAATGAAAACTAAAGAAAAGGAAAATAAAGGAATCTTTGTTAAAAGTGAAAAATAGTGATGTAAAAGATTCTCTCTCAACGTAATCATGGGGAAATCACTTTAAAAAGACTTTGGGACATCAAACTGGCTTAATGTTTCAGAGAAGATAGACAACATATCCTGGGAAACATTTCTCATTCTAAGATAAAAATTTAGAGAAAATTAGAATGGAAATATTCTACCAAAAGTGATTTTAAAATCTAAACAAAAATAAGTTAGGATAAAAAAGCTAGGATAAAAAAAGACTATTAAGAATCCCTGAATAATTCTTTCTTATAAAGCTTTGCTTTAGTCAATGATTTAGTTGATTAATACCTCCCAGGTTAAACTATTTCAAATAAAGTATTAAAGTGTTGTGGGGTTTTTTTTTTTTGCAAATAAAATATAACATGCCACAGCCATAATTTATATTTGAGACAATAAATATATCTCCATGGTGATTATGGGATCAAGTTATAACCACCATCTGCTCATGTTACCTGAAGGAAAAACAATCAACTGATATGGAAATGTTATATATATTACATATATCTTATATGTATTTAAAGTGACTATAACACTAACCTGATTTTTGTGGCTTTGCAAATAGGTTTTGGATTTTTTTTAAAAGACTGGAATTATATTAAGTATATGTAAATTGAAACGAAGACATTTTCCCCAAGTTACCTCTTTTTTTTTTCCTATTCCCCTATACATTTTTCTATGAATTTTGTCCCTTAGTCAGTATCTTGGCACTTAAAAAAAATACACCTTCCCCATCCCTACAAGGAATTGTACTTGCAATATATAAACAATCTATTTAGATGTAACATAATGACAGCAAGATGTCAAATAACGGTCCTTTTGCAGAAGTTAAGCAATAAATATCAAGCAGAATTTGGATAAAAAGACTGTAAAGGCAGTAATCTGTTGCAAAAAGTGACACGAATCATGTATTTCAAGGTATGGTGGTCTTCTCAACTCCCTGTTCTACAAATAAACTCAAAGCTTGCACTGTTCCTTAACAGGAATACTAGACATTGTCCAAAAGAGTCTGAGCTTTGACAACCAAAGAGAAAGATACTTTCTCCCACTAAAGTAGCTGATGTAACACCCAAATTCTCTGGGGACCAGAAGGCTGTGAATATATAGCCTTGGGAGAGTAGGCTCGATGAGGGAGAAGGGTAAGCAGCAGGCATATGGAGTTTTAAGGAGCAAAGAAAGAAGGCCAATGTCTCCAGCTTAGTAAATAGGAAGTCCAGAAGGAAAAATTTTGGCAGGCAAACAGGAAAGTTGATTTAGTGGGACATTTTCTGTTTCATCTGTCCATTCCTTTGTACTGTCACCAGGATCCCCCACATTTTGAGTACCTGTTTACACTCCTCCTCTCTTGCATGGTCAAGAGACCATACAAAGTTGCCATTTTTTACAGGACACTGGCAGTGAGTGGTTCGCAGAGGGCCCCAGATGCAAGGCACAGCCTCACCCAAGCTTTATCCCCTTGGCCACGTGACAGGCCAAGAAAGAGGCACACAAGGTGCTGACAAACAGAGCTCTTCCTTTGTATTGGTGAAACTGGAATAAAAAGAAGAGGGCTTCTACTGGAGAGACAGGAGACCACGGAACATCCAGTCACCGGGAAACAAGTACTGCAGATCTAAGGAAAAGACCCTTGCATATGAAGGGATATAGAGGTGAGAGGTACTACTAGTTCCAGAGGTATTCAAGACTGCCACGGCTTCACAATTCCGCTAGACTTCTAGATATGTTCTTCTTAAATTTCATGCGCTGCCCAATACTCTGCCCTAAACTCCCTGGTCTTCTGGTCTTACTTTCACTACTTCATTTTCTTCCAAAGGAAACAGGTATATTAGTCTGCTCAGATTTTCATCACAAAGTGCCACAAGCTCAATGGCTTAAACAATACAAGCATATTTCCTTGTAGCTCTAGAGGCTGGAAGTCCAAGATCAAGGTCCCAGAAGGCTGGTGAGCTATCTGTTTCTGGTTTGTGGATGGCTGCTACCTCATGGTATTCTCACATCATCTTTCTGAGTACATGAAAGAGCTCCCTCCTCATTATAAGGCTGCCAATTATAGAAAACAAGGGTCCTACCCTTATGCCTTATTTAAACTTAATTACTCCCTGAATATCCTGTCTCTAAATATAGTCACACTGGTGGTTAGGACTTCAATGGATGAATTTTGAGGAGATACAATTCTGTCCATGAAACCCAGGGGCAGCTGCTGAACAGAAGAGAATGTGCTCTGGGCTCAGAAGGGTTAATGTTGAGGTACATGTCCAGGAGAAAGTGAGGTGGCTTTAGGAAACAATAGACCTCCTTCTTCAACTTATGCTGAATTAAAGCTTGTGAGTTTAATGAATGTGGATGACCCAGAGACATCTTTCCTGCCACTGGTTTGGATTTGTCAGTGGTTGAAGAAGGAGGTCTATTGTTTCCTAAAGCCACCTCACTTTTTCCTGTTCTTCTCACCCCTAATTGTGGTGATTGATCTTGTCAATTTGATTGGCTTGGGAGATGCCTAGGTGATCAGTAAAGCACTCACATTGGAGTACGGCTGGGTGGGTCATGGAGGTTCGACCTTGGGAACTGTATCTGAGCCCTGGCCTCTTCCTCTCTGGCTCTTCCCTTGACCTCTGCTCTCCAGATGCCAGCTTTCCTCCACCGTACCCTCTGCCATAGTGTTCCTGCCTTGAAGCCAGGTGACCACAGACTGAAACTTGTGAAGCTATGATCCAAAATAACCCTCTCCTTAAAGCTGTGGGTGTCAGGAGTTTTGTCCCAGCAATGAAAAGATGACTAATACAAGAATTTTTTTATTTATCTTCAAAACATCAGTTTTCTTTGAGGATCTTAAAGTTTGTTTCATTGGACACAAACCAGACTGACTTGAGTGGTGACAAATATGCACATTTGATTTAGACCTTGTTAAACAATGGTTAAATTAAGTGTATAAAATTCAGTATTCATTAGAGTTGCAGGAGATTTCAAAGATCCAAGATGTAACTATTGATCAAGATGTTCTGATAATAATAGAAGAATCCTGACTGTCTTGAAAGGCAGTCTCTCCATGTGAAATATATGGCATTAGTTCTGGACAGAATAGTTTACAAAGGACATAAAGGACTAAAGTAAACTTTTGTAGTCCTAATCAGGATGCTGCAAAGATAAGACCCTAATATGTGCAATTGGTTTCAGGAGAAATAGCGTGAGGTAAGGGTGGGAGGCACTGAGAACTCAACTGTTCTAGGAGAGTATATGATCCTTACTGTTTTAATATTGGTTAATGCTGTATCTTACAGGACAGTATTCATGTATTATGATTACAGTGTTACAAAAAAATGGCAGGAAGCTAGAGTAAGTTCATTTCTTCCAGCTTTCAGCAAGTTCCTACAAAACAGACTCAGACTAGAAGTGGCTAGTCTGAGAGGAAAGTGGGAAGAAAGAGAACATATTCTTGGGGGCTTGGGTTAGACCTTCCTCCAGGCACTACAGCAGAGATCTGCAGGGAAGTCAGCTGAGTTTCCAAAGCAACTGTACTACCAATAATCCCTCCAAAGTAATTCCTATACCCAAATTCACAACTACAGGAAATGGGTTACAAAAAGCCACTGATGAGATAAAGAGCACGGATCAGGTTTATGTGAAGATAATTTAAAAGGACTTCTTTTTTAGTCTAAACAACAAAGGCTGTAAAGAGTCCAATTTGAAGGTTATAAGCATAGAAATATAGATAGGGAGCTGTAGATTTCCTTATCAGATTTTTGTATACAAGAGATGACATGAAAAAGTTTAAGTCATAGACAAAGGGTCCCTAATGACACTTACCTGGGCTTTCATGACCTCCCTGCCCCTTGGTGTCACCACTGAAAACAATATTAGACACGAGGTGACCATGGCTGTAACTTTGAGTTTACAGAATGACTGTAGAAAAGAGTATGTATACCATCAGCTTCAAAAGAAGGCGGAGTGCAATTTCAGAATCAGAAATGCTCCCCTTGTTATAGATATATCATCCATCCTATCTCTTGGGTAATTCTCTTGATCACTCTTTTTCTTCTAAGAAAATTAAGCAAAAATACGTAAGTGGATATGATGATAACATGCTTCAGTACTAGCATCCTGCCTTCTGAGAAGAAGCTCCATACTAGACATTCAGGTTTCCTTGCAGAAGGAAACCACTCCACAAACCCAGGAGCACAGTGTCCATTTGGTATTGTCACAGCAATAGGACAATCAACATCATTTCAATCAGCTTACAACTCCTAAAATACGATATGTGAACCCTTGTGTTACGGGATGCAATTTTAGGAAGTCCAAAGGCATTACAGTAACAGCAAATCCATACTCCTCTTTCATTCTGCTGTCCATTCCTCCAATTCCACTAAGGAGATGGCCTCAGATGTGTAGCAGGATAATTTTAACACCCTTCCCATGCCTCCTCCTCTTTTTCAGAAAGGAAAGCAAGGCTTTCATAGTCAATAGGAACTAAAATTTAATAACACTGTCTTTGCTTTCATCCTGTTCACTTTTAAGCTTTCCAATAGTGCAGTGAGATTTCTACAACAGGCTTATTCTGAAAAAGTAATCAACTTGTAAAAATGATGTATAGGTACAAATAGCAAAAATCAATCAGGTGGATTGAGGCTTGAGAAACACAGTAAGTTACTTAAGAATTTCTTGTTTCTCCGCTGATATAATTTGTTTTATTTCTAGTCACTGGGAAACTGCCAATACCTCTTATTCTTCCAGATGCAGAATTGTAACGCACCAAGTATTTATGTGATAGGAATGCTTTTGTACAGCACCTGAGAAGTGATGTGACCTATTCTGGTCAACCCACAAATGTTGTTTTCCCCTGAGATACAGGTGAGGGAGCACATATTCTAGGAGACTAAGTAATTTGACCAAAATAGGCCTAGAAAATAGCTGATCCAGTTCTTGGTACCTGACCTGCTGAGTCCTTTTGCAAGACTCTTTATCATGCATTTCTCTGCCTAAGCACATTCTGTTTTTGTTTGATTATTATGAGAAAATTAAAATAAGATGAGGAGATGATTATGATTGACATGCAAAAGACTTAAGCTAGAATGAAATAGTTCCTTTTATACTAACAAACTTGTATTCTTTCCACTTCGAAACACACACACACACACACACACACACACACACACGCACTCACCCCCACTATAAGAATAAAGGGCAAATATGCACAGCCTTCACGTATGACTGCCTTAGCCAAGGCCATTTCAGGCCTTAAACACTCCCCTGCTGCAAGAGGAACTTTCTAGTGGACTCTGAGAGATGTGTGCAGAACAGTCCTGTAGGAACTTTGGGACTATCAAAAGGGCCACAGGTTTACAGAATGGCGACAGAAAGGAGACATTTATATCATTAGCTTCAGAAAAAGGTGAGTATATTCTCAGAATGGGAAATGTTCCCTCACTGAGGATAAAAAATCCATCCTAGCTCTTGGGTTTTATCTACCACTCTCTTCCTTGTTCCTTCTACCCCAGCCAAGCAGCCTTCTTTCTTAAATATGCCAACTTATTCCCACCTCAGTGCCTTTGTATATGCCATTCCTTTTGCTATACAGTCTGCTGCAGAGCTTTACAAAGGGGCCTGTTCCTGATTGTTTATCTCAGGCCAAGTGATATTTACTCAAAAAATTCTTTGATTGTCCTCACCAGTTACTAATGTTTCGTTCTCCATTATTTCCTTCTAAAAATTATCTCATGTTATTTCCTTCATATGATAATGGCTGCCTAAAATTATCATGCTTATTTATACCCAGCATCTGTGGTCCACTATTAGCATTAGTGCTTAGTGAACAGTAGGTGTTAAAAACAAAACAAAACAAAACAAACAGTGAATGGTAAGACACACTCTCCCGTGCAAAAACCTGCCCCACTCCCAAATGTGATCACTGTCCTTTCAAAGAAATAGAAAAGAAAGCAAAGAAACTCTACCTGGTTCGTGAAGAGTCCATGTCCAGCACCAACTTTGCTAAATGTTTCCTCTGCTTTTGGATATTTGGGATTTCCACCTGTTAAAGAGACATGATGTAATCGAACCAAAGCTCAAGGGAAATGCATTAAGAACTATGCTTCAGAACAACCTCTATAGAGCTATTAACAGTCAGCAGCAAGTTTGCCCAAAGTCTCCCGATCTTTATATTCAGATGAAATCTCCCCTTTGCTTTACTGAGGCACAATTACAAACAAATAGGAGCTGTACACATTTCAGGGGCAAAACTTGATATTTTACACTGAGTAATGATTACTACAAGCAAACTAACGAACATATGTATCACCATGTATGGGTACCATTTGTGTATACATCTTTGTGTATACATGTGTGTGCTCACTTGTGTACATATGTGACAAAACCACTTAAAATCTTAGCAAATTTCAAGTATACACTGCTCCGATGTCAGCTATAGTCATACCACGCTGTCTGTTGTATCTCTAGAATGTACTCATATTGAATAAGAGAAACTTTGTACCCTCAGATCAACACTAGAGGAAATTGTTGATTCTTTCCCTGAATTGCAGTCCCTTTCCTTTTCTCTGGACACCTGCCAATCCCCATCAGCCTGAACCACCTCAGAGGATCTGTATGCTCCTGCTCTCCAGGGCCTGGCAACACTTCCGCCACTCATGCAGCCAGCAAACACAGGGGCTCAATCGCATCTCCCTCTACTGCTACAAGGGCAGAAAATGGGGAAAATAAGGAAAGCCAAGCAGTCAGGCCTGACACGTAGACCTATCAAAAGGTGAACGGCAGGAAACGGAGCAGCACCAGTCTCAGGAGACCTAAGACACTATGAAGAATGCTAATAGAACATATATTGCACATTTTGAGAAACAAAATAGGCATATCTAGATATTTATTAACATAACGTAAGAACTTTCCAGAGAAAATCATGACTAAGCATTTACATCAGGGCTTTTCTCAGCCATGAGTGCTTCCATATTGGTTGTATGCAGAAGCTCTTTTTATATTTTTCTTTCTAAAAATTACTTCCCTGAACATTCCAGTGCAGGATTTTTGGTTCCAGGCCCAGCAAAAGTAGGTCAGGATGTGAGAATTAAAAAGGAAAATTGGCCATAAATTGAACTAAAATCATCTCAGGCTGTTGGTTTTTTTTTTTTTTTTTTTTTTTTTAATAAGGGTTTACGTGAGGAAAACCCAGGGTTCTATGAAGTGCTTTCTATTCACTCTGCTAAGCAGGGATGAGTGATGTAGCATAGGCAGCAACTTCAGCTAGGAAGAAGCACAGCTATTCACTGGCAGCCAGAGTCTGCACAGAGCCCCAGACAGGGCTGGGCAGCATAGTACCCATCCAGCCCTCCAAGGCAGCTCCAGCTCTGCTTCTGGATGAGCCCTGCCCTAAATTTGCTTCAGCCTTTGGTCAGAGCCCCAGCCTACCTTATGAGGGGCCTATAAGGATGCCCCTGGCTACGGGATAACCTGCCCCAGGACGGAATCTGAAAAGCCTAGAGCTGGTCTTTCAGTCTATGTCAAAGCATCATACCTAGGATTTCTCAGTGATTGTTTTTTAGCATGTGGTAATTGTTTATCTATACTTTTGCCCCAGAAAGAGTTCCAGGATATGCAGAAGTAATGGAAGTGGTCCAGAGAGGAAATCAGACATGATCCAGGGCAACGCTGCCTCTAATAACATATGGTAACATAATGCTCATGAAATCAACGAAAGTGAATTCCTGAGTCACATTAAACACATTTCAAGTACCCTACAGCTATGTTAAGCTGGGGGCTACCAAAATATACAGATGTAGAATGTTTAACTCACTGCAAGGGGTTCCGGGGGAGAGCATTGCTTAGGTTTTGTATGACCAAGTAAAGGCAATTGGGAAGGGTTCAGGTTCCAGGTAAACAAAGCTTCCCTCATACTTTCTGTCTCCCTTGATATAATTTCACTTGGTGGAAGCTAACAAAATTGGCATAGAGACGTTAAGATAGCTTTCTAATAAAAAAAGTTTAATTTACTGTTCTTTAAGGTCTAAAAGGAAAAGACTTATAAAAATCAACTTGCAAGGGGCTTGGCAGAGGCTCTTGGACTCAGGCCCCCCTGTCCTTCTGAGGAGGCTCCACCGACTTCACTAAGGATAGGGCGGGGTATGGCATTTGGGTCTGTGGTACGGATGGAGATGCGCAGCCAGCCAGCTTTGCATCTTTACCCACCGGAATGTCAAGAGAGGAGACTGCAGGTGAGAGGAGGAGGCTGCAGTCTGCTGAGAGGGCCATCATATTTGGGAATCTTGATGAAGGCGCTGGGTGATAATGATTCCTGATGAAAAGCAATGTCAGGGAATAGAGTAAGGGATGAAAACAATGAGGCTGGACACGTAATGACCAAGGCAGCTCCTGATCTGCACTCCCTGGTCACTCAGGCCCAGCCTCAGTGCTGAGTCTTACCTCAGCCAGCAGAAACAGGGGCTCAATGACGTCTCTCTCTACTTGTAATTCAAAATGTATCAGCTCCTGAGCCAGCTTGTCCTCTGTCTCTCCGCACAGTTTCAGCATCTTCCTGCATCCAAAGTGGGGAAAACACACTGAGTATCTTGACGTTCTGCCTGGGCCATACCGTCATCACCACCTTGCTCAGTGAACTTCACCCAGGTCATTGTTAGGAAGCTGGCCAACATCCACGGCTGCTCCGACTCTCTTCCTTTCTGAAATGCCTAATTCTTCCCAATGTACTCACCGTGTGTCTGAGACAAAAGGATTCATGTTGAGAAAGACAGATGTAGAGAAAACAGACTCACACGTGCCAAGTCCACAGACATAAAAAGCCAGGAGTTTATCTCTCTTGGGAGAGAAATTAGCTGAGATTCAGCCACTAATACACCAACATCTTCAAACATATACCAAAAATTCAATTTTGTAAGGTCCTAATAGAGAAAAAAAAACCCTTACTTGTAAGCCATGAAAACCTACTTAGCACAGGATGCAGCAAAAGCCATTCCAAAAGTGGATCAATAATAAGCCAATAGCAAAAGACCTGAAGGAACAGTTTTTCCATATTCCCAGGTATGATGGCAGACTCTTTTAAAGATACTAATTACTCTCCAAATGGCTTTCTTCTTTTGCATTGTATCATATTAACTGAAAATCATGTGAAAGAGTTTTTATAAATCAACAAATATATGAGCTGAGGTAACTGTTATTCTGAAATGAGTATATACCTTACTATCCCTATTTCAATGTGTTTACATACAGTATATAGTACTGGTGCTTTGCTTCATAAAGAAAGTGTTCACGAATGGTTTTAAACTCAACACATCCTTATACTACTTGCTTTTGAAATGTACTATTATTTGAGGGGCTTATCCATGTTGATACATGCAGAATTAATCATTTTGCTCTTGGATTTACACTCTATATTATATATGTGCCTCCATTTATTGTTTTCCTACAATCAAAAAATTTTTTTTGGTTTTTTGAGACAGGGTCTCACTATGTAGTGGAGACTGACCTGGAACTTACTATGTAGCCCAGGCTGGTCTCGAACTCACAGTGTTCCTCCTGCCTCAGCCTACTGAGTGTACAACCAAAAATGTTATGCTATTTCGTGCAGTACCACAATATAGAAGCATATACATTCTCTTCTTGCCTGTGTGAGAATTTTATGAACACACATGAGAATTGTCTTTGCACTGTGCCCCTGACAGTCCTTCGAACGGGTAGGTATCTTGATTTCTGCCAAACAGGTTGAAGCACAATATTCTCTCATTGTGATTTTTAATTTGCATTCCTTTACTACTAGTAAGATTGGCTATCTTTTTATGTGCTTTGGGCCACAGATCTCTCCTCCACAAATGCCTACTACTACTTCTTGGCTAATTTGAATTAGTTATAATAGTTATTATATTTAATTAGTTATATATTAGTTATATATTTTATAGATATTTTAGTTATATATTTATAATTAGTTATATATATTTTTTATAGGTAGGTGAATAGGGAACGGAGTCTCTTTCTCATACCTGCTGCTAATGTCAACTCCTAAGTTGTAGTTTTGTCTTTGTAACATTTTAATAGAGTCTTTTATCTGACTTTCTGACTCCTCAATACTTTAATACCTTCCGCCTCTTGGCAATACTAGGGATTGAACCCAGGGTCTTCACACTGAGGCACATCCTCAGCCCCTTTTTAAAACTTTACTTTGATACAAGGTCTCACTAAGTTACTAAGTTGCCCTGGCTAGACCCCAACTTGCCATCAACCTCCCAGGGTGCTGATATTATAGGTGATAATGCTACTTCTTAATTTTTAAAAACTTAAATATTAGCTGTTGATTCTCAACTATGGAAAATGAGAATTTAGCTGGGCATATATTACCCTTCTTTCCACTTAACTTTTATAAGTATATTTCTAGTGTTTGTATTATTTGATTGATTGATTGATTTGATTGTACCAGGGATCGAACTCAGGACCTTGTGCATGCAAGGCAGGCAGTGGCACCACTGAGCTAAATCCCTGGCCCATGCTTATATTATTTTATATTTTTATTCTATATTAAAAGTTTGAGTATTCCTAACTCCCAAATCCAAATTTTTGAAAGTTTAGATTAGGAAGCATTTTGGAGTTTTAAGTTAAAGATTTTCAACTGGTAAAGTCTATACAAATATTTCAAAAGCTGAAAAACTGGTTCCGAGCATATCAGAGAAGGAATAATCAATCTGTATTTGGAGTTAAGCTGGGTACTATGCTATGATTATTTGTCTTTCCTGAACATTTATTTGTTCTTGCTCGAGCTAATAACCACGTTGTCCCATCTGTTTCGCTCACATTCTATGTACCTGATTAAACCCAAAATCCTGTCACTTTTCTAATTTGTCTCCTAAGATATTAAAAGATACAAATTTGACGTGAATGAACTTCATCTTGAATTAGTCTCTCCCAGGAATGTACTGGAAGGAGGATGAAGTGTTCCTTTTATCTGTGGGGCACCCTTGCCTCCCTGGAATCTTGCTTCAGTTTCCTGGCATTCCCTCTCTCTATCCTGTGCTGAATGATCTCACCTTGGGCCTGCTTCCTTCTTGGAGACAACTCCATTATGGAGCACACTGTGCCTCAGGAAACTGAGGTATGAGGGAAGTCAAGCCTTTAGATGACACTTGCCACAACGTTCTCCTCCACACCCACAATGACTGACACTTGGGCAGGATACTGGATTCTATATTGAACTTCATTGCCTTCAGAATTTTTTTTTTTTTTTTTTTTTTTTTGTACCAGGGATCGAACTCAGGTCCTTGCGCTTGCCAGGCAGGCGCCAGAGCCACTGAGATAAATCCCCAGGCCACCTTCAGAATTTTGAAGGCACTGCTCAACAATCCAGCTTATAGTGTTGCTTCTGGTAAAGTCTGGAAGCCTTCACAATTCTGATCCTTTGTAATGTAAAACAAAAAATTTTGTAGAAGATTGAAGCATCTTTTATTACTACTATCCATGTGAGTATGCCTCAGCATAAGTTTAATTTTTCATATATTCAGAGTTCAGTGGGCCCTTTCTGTACAGAAATTCATTTTTTTCAAGTCTGGAAGGCATTTTTGCATTATTTTTGTAGTAATAGTATTATTTTTTCCTCTCCTTTTCTAAGAACCCATTTTTAGGCATAGGACTTCCTGGACTGATTCTCTAATTTTCTAAGATTTTTTTTTTTAATTTACCGTGTCTTTGTCTTCTTGCTTCATTTTCTGGATAATTTCCTCCCACTTACTTTCCAAACCTTCAAATGAGAAATTTTATCTGTTTTCATATTTTCTTTTCATTTCTATGAGCCTGGTTTGGATCTCTGAATGTTTCTTTCCTATAACTTTTGTACTAATATCCTGTATTTATGTCATGGATGTACCTCTTCTCTTACTGCATGAAAACTGTATGTGATAATTTCCTGGAGACTTCTCCTACCCCACATAATCTCTATTTCCTCCAAACTGTAGCCCCCAACCAGATTGTTTGGTTTCTACAATTTAGGTCAGAGACTTCCTTTAGTGGTGTAGAGATCTTTTGAGCCCATCTATATTTAAGGGCAGAGAACAAGCTCCAAGAACAAGAGTGAAGTTTGTCAGCTGTGAGCTTGGCTGTAGGATGATTTGGCTGGGCCATTCATTCATCAGTACACTGACCCCGGCTGACGGTTTTTGGAGCTCCTTGGAGTTTCCTTCTGGGCTGCTCCGATTCCCTAGAAGACCCTTCTAACTTCTTGCCTTGAAGATAAACACCTAGGGCCCTTGTGAGCAGGGAGGAGAGATAAGAAGTCTGAGAGATAAGAAGTCTCCACATCGGTATCTTCAGCATCTCTTGATCCTCCTCTTAGCTGATCTGATTGGTGCCCCTCTTGTTCTCTGTCCCCCATTCTAGAGACGCTTCCTTTTACTCATTCTAGAGAGTAAAGCTCGAGAGGCCTGCTAGGATGAGAGTGGGGAAAAATGAATGCCCCTTGGAGGTGTGGCTGGCCAATGATTCAGGGATCTAAGTGGCACTTGGAAAACTTTCAACCCACCTTTTTTATTCTAATCACCCACTCCACCCAAAAGACCCACCATTCCCAAGGTTTCTGGTGCCACCAGTTCCTGGGCACGGTCATCATTTCACAGTGTACATTATGTTGGATCTCTGCACACCCTACTTCTAGATTGGGCATCAGATGTCTGGGACTCGCCAAATCAATTCCCAGTCATTCTTATGATTTACAGTTCACAAAATTACACCGCTGTTGTCTTTCATCCTTGTTTTTCCTAACATTGTGAGCCTAAGTCTTTTAAGACAAAAAGAACTCCCTTTATTATAGTTTTGGTGGATTTTGGCAGGGAGCAAAATCAGATGCGAGTTCAATCTGTCGTCTTTACTTCCAAACTTGCTGTATCACAGTGTTTCAGGGATGCATGCCTCTCGGGAACACTATGCAACAGGATTTCATGTTTATCTACTGGAGATGCTCCATATTTCAAATAGCTCAGTTCATTCCTTTTTCATCTGTGATGACTGAAGATAAATAAGCAGTATTGCTATCATCTTCATTCTATTTTCTATTTATCGCAAGCTTTCCCTTGTTTACCTTTTTCTCTTTCATGCCCTTCTTTGGTCTTGTTTTTTTAGCCCCTTCTATTTCTTTCCATTTTTGTCTGTGGAATTATAAATTCTATTCCTATTCTTCTGGATAATCTCACTTTCCTAACATGTACATTATTATAAATTCAAGTGCAATATACCTTTATCCTCCTTTCAAACAATACAAGAGCTTTGAAATACTGTTTTCCCCTTCCGTATTTCATGTTATTGTTATCTAATCCCCCAAATTATTTATACTGTTGGGTTTTAATTCAATCCTTACTTATAATTACTTATTTTGATATGCCACCATACATCTCTTTGGCATAAGGGCTGTTTGGAGCTGAAGGCACATGAGAATCAGATAGTAAAGAAAAAAACAAACAAACAGTAGCTCTCTGTCCTCCCCATTTTGCCTAAAAGCAAGAAATAGATTTACAAAGGTGTTCCCCTCTCTAATAGAAAGGACATAAATAAGTCACTGGCAACAACTCCAGATGCTCACAAGCCCCAGCATGGAAATAAAGGAACCCATATAAGTAACTTCATTAACTAACCTTTATCGTCCACTAATGCCCCATAAATGTACCTTCCCATGTCTCCTCCTTCCCTTTGTCTTGCTGCTTCTCCAGAAATGGTTGTTCTTTTGTCAAAATGCTATATAAGCCCACATTCTAATCACATCTTATAGCTTATTTCTGAGTTTGGTAAGCTGTCTGCTGTCAATCTGATTTGCAGAATCCCGGCTACAAAACCTAGGGTGGCCAGAGACGTTGTTTCCTTCCCTACACATCCAGTAACTCTTCATTAATTCTGACTTGCTTCTTGCATTTCACAACTTTCTCGTGGACTTAATTTCTTTCATACAGTCTTAACTGGCTCTTCTGCAAGTACATGCAAGCAGTAATTTTTAGCGCTAGTCTATATACAAGCTAACTTTACTTGCAAGTAGTAAATTTTTGCCTGAAAAAAATCATTTTCCCCTAGCTCTGCATAATGATTTAGAGTATCATAAAATTCTAGATTTCTTGTGTTTTTATTCAGTTCTTAAAGATAATTGTCCATAATCTTCTGGCATTTATTTTGTCTGATGAATAGTTTATCAGTTTAACTGAACTCTTATTTACAGGTAATTATCTTTTTTCTTGGATTGATTTTAAATTTCTTTCTCTTTTTTTAGTCTGCAGTTCACTACTTATGCTCAGGGATGGATTTCTTTTTGTTGTTCTCTCACACAGGACTTCTTGTGCTGTCTAATTCTAAAAGCAGTTTTCACTCCCATCTAGAAAAGAGAATTCAAACACAAACTTCATTTCTCCTATTTTCTTCTTCAGGATCTTCTATAAGACAGAATTTTGTATGTTTGCATTCTGTCCCCATGCCTCTCAATTTAATAAGGTCTACACCCTCATCTCTTGTCCTTCCTTGTGTTCTTTCTGGTTGGTAACTTCAGATCTGTTTCCAAGTTCATCCATTCTGTTTTGGATAATCTCCAGTTTATTTTTATCAAATTTTAAAATTATCAGCATAATTTCAACTTTAAGCTCTAACTGGCTGTGGTGGTACAGCATGCCTGTAATTCTAGTGCTCTGTGAGCTGAGGTTAAGACAGTCACAAGTCCAAGCCTCGCCTAGGCAATTTAGTGACTTAGCAAGGCAACGTCTCAAAACAGAAAAAATTAAAAGGGATCAGCAATACAGCTCAATACAAAGGCCCTGGGTTTAATCCCCAGTGCTGAGGACAGCAGAGTTCTATTTGGTGTTCACTCAATTCTGTCCATTCTTTTTCATGTTGTTGACTCTTTTGTCAAGGATTATTCTTATCTTTTATTCACTGTAAAGTTTCACTTTAAATAATCATTGTCCATTTCCTTTAAAATCGTTTCACTATTTTTACTCCTTAGGGTACTGAGTCTCTGCTATTGACTGTAGGAAAATATGCTGATGCTATCTCAGCAAGATTCTATTTTTAGTGTGTTTTATTGTGAGTTCAAAATCAGCAGGGCTTGTTTTGGGAATCCCATGAGTTCTGACATCTGACACTGAGATGTTACATGTTTGCTTCTATTGAAGCCTTAGGGATTTTAATTGCCTTTTACCAGATCTATGCTAATTTTTTCACTTGGACTTGTCTTACTGCATAGACAATAACTGAAGCTGAGGGTTTTAAAAAATCATTAATTAAGCTTATTGGTGCAATTTAGATACACACAATAATCACATTCACTGTACAGAATTTGTACCTGTACATATATCTTAATTCATATTTTTTTCTTACTGGTAACATTTTTCTCCTTTCCCACACAAGTCCCCAGGCAGAATTCACGTGTGTGACACACTCCCTGAGGACTTCCAGTCCCCTTTTCATGGAAGGGGACTTTCCTAGATTGAGCACAAACTCTCACGTGGTGTCACCTTACCCAAGAAGCGTGTCATCTCCCAGGATAGCTGACCCTTCCATCAAACACTGAGCCAATGTCGTCAAAGGCAACTTTTTCTGTAAAGGAAACAAAAAGCAAAGGAAAACTACTTTCAATAGTCACCACTTAGTCTAAAATAGCAATGTCATATTCTCACCTAGCTAAGAAACAAACTGACTTTATGTTTAAAACTAAAAGACTCAGTATACAACGATGAGATGGACTTAGAGATATAAAGTCAGAAAATTAAAATGGAATTAAATAATTAGGAAATAATTAGAAAAGTTAACCTAAGGTTTACATACTATATTTTAAAATGAAGTAGGTTGTCAAGAAAAAAGAATTTCAAAATTATGTTAACAAAGATTTGAGCAGTATGTTAGTTTCCAAAAATCAATTTTTTTTTCTAGAAGTCCATTAGCTGCATTGTGTAAACAAGGTAGCTTCGTTCGAGAGAGAAAAATGCTGACATACAATTATAATGCAAAAAAGTACCAAAACAAAGGTACACTCAAAAAGAAAATACAAATATGGCTTACAAGCATATGGAAAGATGATTTTCGTTAGTCGCTAGAAAATGCAAATCAAGGCCACAATGAAATACCCCTTGGATGGCTATAATATTAATATTTTTTAAAAATAGAAGATAAATATTGGAAAGCATGTGCAGAAATGCATTGCTAGAGAAGGTTTTAAAATGGTGCTGCACTGTGGAGAAGTTAGTAATGACTCAATATGTTAAAAAGAATTACTATATGGCATAGGAATTCCATCCCTAGGTACACACCCAAAATAAGTGAGAACAGTTTAAAATGGTGCTGCACTGTGGAGAAGTTAGTAATGACTCAATATGTTAAAAAGAATTACTATACGGCATAGGAATTCCATCCCTAGGTACACACCCAAAATAAGTGAGAACAGATTCTAACAAAAAGGTACATAAATGCAAAGAGTAACAGCCAAGAGGTGGAAACAATCTGAACTAGATGAATAAATAAAGAATGTGGTTTGTGCATATAACGGAATATCACTCAGCTTTGAAAGGAAACAAAGTCCTGACATGAAAAACAGCATGCTAAGTGAAGTATTCTAGATAAAAAGGACACATTATATCATTCTATTTATATGAAATGTCCAGAATAAGCAAATCCACAGAGACAGAAAGGAGATTAGAGGTTAGCAGAGCCTGTAGGGAAAGGAGGGTTGGGGCAAGATGACTTAATGTAAAGGGTTTCCTTTTGGGGGTGATGAAAATATACGGGAACTCGACAGTGATGATAGTTGCACAATACTGAGAGAGTGCACCAAATGTTGAGATTCTTGCCCACTTTGAAATGGTAACTTTGGTTAGAGTCGAGCTGCTCGTTACCGTTTGGGCATGATATGTCTCCCAAATGCCTCATCTTGGTGAAGTCTTGGTGGCTAATGGGCTTAGGACGTGACTGCATGCAGGCTAACTTCCTTGGGGGTATTACTGGGAGATGATGGAAGGGAGTGGATCATGGGAACAGGACCGTGGGGACTATATCTTGTACCTATCTCCCCCCTCTCCCTGGCTCATTTTCTCTCTCGCTCCTTTCTAGTTGCCATGAGGTGAGCAGCTTTCCTCTGCTACCCCTTCCACCATAATGATTTTGCCTCACCGTAGGCTTAAAGCAGTGGAACCAGCTGACCATTCTCAAACTGAGCCAAAATACACCTTTCCTTAGTTAAGATGTTACTCTCAAGCACTTTGTCACAGTTATGGACGGCTAACATACTAGTAGAAGAGTATAGCATGATCTGTCCCCTCCTCCCTATGGGTCAAAAGCCCTCTCCTTACAGAGACAAGACCAACCAACACACAAAGACAACACAAGAAGGACAAGGTAAGAACTGCTAGTATAGGCTCAGGTCTTCCAGTCTTTATAGCCATAAAGACGGTTCTTCAAATGGAAAGTGACTGGCTTATACCCAGTCCAGAGCCTCCTGGTACTATCAACTAGAGAGCTCCTTCTGTAATGCATTTACAAATCCAATACTTATAGAGGGCAGCACTCCATACAGGAGAGACACACACCAGCAGCAAACAAAACTAAACACTGCTCTCATGAAACTTAACTTCAATTGGGAAGACAGATAATAAACATCATTAGATCTTGCCCTTTGTGTGTCTTCATTTAGCTACTCACCAGTGTCCTTTTAATGTCCTTTGTGACAAACTGGTAAACACAAAGTACATTCCCTCAGTTCTGTGAGCCACTGGTCACAAATACCAGAGATGGGGATCTGCACTTGGCAACTGATGTGGGGATGGTTTTGCAGAACTGAGCCCTTAATATGTGGGATCTAAAGCTTTCACAAGGTGGACAGTGTCAGAATTGAATTAAAGTGTAGGACACCCAGTTGGGGTTTGGAAGGTTGAAGAACTGCTTGTGTGTGTGTGTGTGTGGGTGCGGGGTCCGCATATTCTGGGTCACAGAAGTCTTGCATGTGAGTGTAGACAGTATGTTTTTCAAAAAATGGGCTTAATATCTCAGTGTGGGCTCACAGAAAGGGCACAGGTTAAGGTATTTGTTCTCTAAACAAGGGGTGGTTTTATCTTCCTGGGGACAGCTGGCAATATCGGGAGACATTTTTGGTTATCTTGATGTGGGGGATACTACCGGCATCCAGGCAGTGGAGGCCAATGATTCTCCTATACATCCCACAATGGTCAGGATAGCCTCCACCTCAGGGAACTGACCAGCTCAAAATTCAGCAATGTTGAGGCTAAGAAACTGATTTAGTTTCCAAGTTCCTAAAACTTGCAGAAAGTGAGGATGCTCCAACCTAAAATTCACATCATCTAGTCGTACTGGTCAGCTCCCACAAAAAAGGCTATTTTGGTTTACTATAAACATTTGCAGTCTCAAGACCTATCTTCAACGCTTTCCTGAATCCTCCTTCAAACTCTGACAAAGCAGCAAGGGAGGATTCTGCCCATCATAAAGGGGACTTCTGCTAGCCAAGGGGCAGATATTCTTTGGAGAAATACATCTACCAGTAGGTGAGTAGAGTTTATCCAAATATGGAAAATCAGACTAGTCAGTGAGCTGCACAGATAATGGCCTGTATGTGACAGATGGGGTAAATGTCAGTGTCACAGGAACAAGGGTAGCTGCAAATGGACCACAGTCTTGGAGGGAAGGTGGTGAAGGGGCAGCCAGCATCATTTCTACACAACACAGCTTGAAATAACATGGCTGGAGGCGCCTTGTTCCTGAGCCTGGTAAACAGTAGCATTTTCTCATTGTCTCATCCCTTGACACTCATACTGTTGATGTTGCAGTGTTCTTTTGTTTTTTGTTGTTGTTTTTTTTGTTTTTTTTTTTTTTTT